TACGTACACACACACACACACACACACACACACACTACACACACACTACACACACACACACACACACACACACACACACACACACACACACACACACACACACACACACATATATATTTATATGTATGACAACTGAAAAATCTTTCGTGCTATCTCCGCGGAAGCTGGATCATGAATATTTATACTTATCTGTCATATTAATCAGCAGACGGGCTGGCAAGCAACGAGAGCTAATGTAAAAGCGCACGTAGCGGCACGGCTGTAAATTCTCGCGGAAAAAGCGCTATTATGTTCGGTATTATCGCGTCGACGAACCCTTTTCATCGTCTTACGGCCATCGTCGTCGCCTTAGAGCGCTCGTAAACATCCTCTTAAAAATATTCAGAAGTTGCTGTCGTTTGTCGACGGCTGCAAGCTGAGTCAAAGTGCGTCGTTATATCCCATAGTCGCTGCAACGCACACAGCTTCTTCTCTCTCTTTCTCTTTTTCTCTTCCCTCTTCTCTCTCTCTCTCTCTCTTTCTCTCCCCCTCCTCTCTTCCTCTCTTATTTCATCGTCTTCGTTACGCTGCCGTGGTTTCGAAGGCTTTCTAAGTTGTTAAAGAGGGTGGAAAACGGACGGAAAAAGGGCGCTTGCTAAAAGAGGGTGCGAGCGAGTGGCGCAAGAAACCAGAAGGTCGTCGCTGAAAGTTTCGAAGTTATTCCGGAGGTAAATACAGTTTAGGTCGGCAATAATTATTGCATGTTTTTATATCGCGCCCTTCTACATCTCACGAGGGAAGGAAGAGAAAGGGAAATGCATCACGTGACGATAACCTCTTTCATTTTAGATTATTATACGTGAAAAATATTCCGCTTTTTACCGGTGACAGAAAACAGGTGGGAACGAGCTCGCTCGCGTTTCTCCATTTCTGTTCGAATAATACAGCTGAAAACTCGTCAATCTGCTCGTGGCTTTTACTACGAACGAAAAACACGTGCATATATTTAATAAACACACAGACTCCGCGTCTAATTCTACTCGACGAGATGACATTTCATAAAAAAAAGTCCACCGTTAAAAAAATGTTCCTCTCGAAATTTTTATCTTTGCAAAATTTTTCTTCTTTCCAGATCAATTCACCTTTCAGCTCCAAATTTGTTTGCACATATTAATTTGCAAATATTACATTTTTCATCTTGCGACAATGTTATTTGCGAAAGCAAGAGATTTAAATGTCAGATCAACGCAAGTACATTATGCCTTAATTACAATATGATATTCGCATAATTCAGGACCATAATAATGGACTAATGGGACAGATTTTTATCAACAAAAAAAATATTAAAAAATTCTTGGGGAAAAAGGTATGGCATGATATTTCCGGTGAGAGTTGCAAACTTAGTTTGCCGATGATCTCGAGGAAGTTGTCGAGCGAACGATTATCCGTGAGCGTTGAAGTAAAATAATTGCTCTACGATAATAATTCCGTTATTCCAAAAGGAAAATACGAATGGGAAGCGTTCGTTATTTTCCATATGACATTAAAATCGCTTCTGCTTTGATCGTCAGCATCGATACAATGCGATTTGTTCTTTACGCACATATATATTTCGCACACTCGATACTGTTGTCGAAGAAAATGGTATAACAGCAAATTCATTTATTGTAAGATGTATATGACGAGATGCAAAATGTAATGTAATATTGTAAATGCAATTTGAAAATTATATTTTATATATATATTCGTCTGATTATGTTTTATATATATGTTTATATATATCGCCGATTTCAATTATATCCATATTAATAATTATATTATTATTATTATTAACGCATTACCACATAATCCTAAGGCAATTTGTTATTATTACATTTAAATAAATGGGTTATAAAAATCTCGTTACACCTCGTAATACCAAAATGTTTAATTTTAGAAAGTGATATATTATTGCAAATAAAAATGTCGCACGATCCAAATTAGATAAAATTGCGATTTACGACTTGCTAATTTCTGTATTTTTATCCAGCCGGAAACGCTTTATGCGCACGTAAACATTGTCTATTTTAAGGTATAATCCTGGTCAGAAATACAATTTGGCATTTTATATCGAAAGAAATAAGAGAAGGAATGAAACGATGAGATAAGAAAGAATATGAAGGAGAACAACGAATGAGGAAGAGCCACAACATAGCTTTAACCAGAAGGTTCCTCTCAAAACTTTAGAATTTATTCCTGCGTTTCCAAAACGCCGCGCGCCTTGGAAAACTTATCGCGTGTTTGTTCGCAGTCTCTAACCGAAATGATTATGCCATAATAATGATATTGTTAGTCGGAAATGTAAAGGCTGCTGGGGTTTGTTGTTTGAAAAAATAATGGATAATGTTCGCTCTCGCCGAGATGTAATTAATGCCCGTTTGGGAAACTTTACCGGTCTACCTGTTGTGTACACACACACACACACACACACACACACACACACACACACACACACACACACACACACACACACACACACACACACACACACACACACACACACACACACACACACACACACACACCACACACACACACACACACACACACACACCGCGCGCGCGCACGGACATACTTTGGGAATAATATTTTATACGTGAATTTCTCCAACGTCATTTTATTCGTGTCGGAAACATTTGTTACATCCTTCAGTGTATTATTTTTGATGAAATTTTACAACATTTATCAGACTATATCAAATTTTTTGGCAATTTATCTAGGGCCGATCTCATCGCTTCCGATTAACGTTATCAGTTGATTAAAATTAAAAATTGCAACTGCGAAACATAAAATAACATTATTTTGTTTTCCTTTTTTGTCCATTTTTGCAACTTGATTTATTCGTGTAAAATATAATAAAAATCCAATAAAGTATAAGTATTAAATAATTATTATTATATAAAATAATAATTAGGTAATATACTTTTAAATACTTTTAAATTTAAAATAATTAAGGAATTAGGGTGAATTAGAAGTAGGGTGAATTTTAATTTAACCATTTCTAAACTTAGTTTACAGATAAAGCTGATCAGAAGTGGGGTGAGGTCGGTTTCTAGACGTAAACTCTCGCAAAAATTCAAACGGGAAAGTTAACAAATCTGAAGGACCCAGTGTTCTCTCGAATATGCGTCATTTATTCGTCCCAGGACAAGTGTTATTAGCGAGGCTACCTAGTGTCTGTCACGTGCTAACTACCGTAATCTCTGATACGCCGAATGCATTTGTAAGGGGAAGCCAAGTGCGGTCCGAACTCGAAAGTTAGTATCGCGATATGCGCCCTGTTAGAAACAGCTTCGCCATAACATGATGGCTTGACAAGAGTCGGGGGGGGGGGGATGAGAAGCGGCGAAGGTGTTAACTACCAACATAATTATCAATTTACGTGGTTCGTTCGCTTGACTGAACAGAGGTTTACCGACAGACATGGCGTAATGAATTTGGATATACATTTTTCAGTGATGTACATTGCTAGATACTAGTTATTATTAATTAATCGGCATACGTAATGTTAAAATGTCTTTTATTGGCTGTCGTCTTATCTTTATTACCTAATTAATGACTGAACTCGATGTATATGGAGTAAATTTTTTTATAAATTTACGTAATTATAAAACATAATAACATAATGAGGAATACTAATGATTTTTAAATATTATTTTCAGGAATCTCTTATATCTCTCGAAATTTTACAAATATAACATTGTAAAATCACATTCTCTTTAAGCATCTTGCAATAATTCGTATGCATACTTAGTTTTACTGAACTACGGTAAAGATTAAGATTCGCGCGAAGATTTAATTACGCTTTTATTAATGATGTATAAGATTAAATGACTGTAAAAATTTATATAGCGCGAAAGTTACGTGCGCGAAAACTTTTACGGACTTAAACAATTTGAAAAATGGAACGAAACTTTCGTCGGATGTGTATCCTCGATGGAAAATTCACTCACCTGCACCATTAACGAGATCGCCACCAGGCCCTGACTCTTATGCTGCGCCTCGCTCATGTTGTGATACAGTTCGGCGTTAAAACCGTAGACTTGTATCTGCAACAGAAAACCACAAAGAAATTACTTCCCGGTGGAATCGTGCCGCGGGCATAATCGTATCTCTCGCAACGCGATCACGCCGACAAATTCCGTCCTCGCACGAACAAATTCTCGAGTTTAGAGTTTAGATTCCGGAACATTTCGTGCCCGACGACGCCTCGTACCACCTCGTCGTTCCCCTTGTTGCCCCATGCTTCTATCTCCCCTCGAGATCGACTTGCTACAATCGTGTCTCTCGTCGACCGTTGTGTCGACTTTGCTGGCAGTTAATTAAACGCTTAACCCTCGATATAAAATATATACAAAATAAATTATATTTTATTAAATATCAAGTAAATCTTTTTACGAAAACTCACATATAGAATATCAAATAAAAATGTATAGGAAAGATCGATGATTAGTAATCATCAATTCTATAATTTTCAAAAGACTTTTAAATCTTTTAAAAAATATTGAAGCCATTATTAAAAAGTTAAAATTTTGTAAGTTGTCTACTTTTATATTTATATAAGCCGTATATTGTTAAAAATTGAAAAAATCGATAGAAAATTCCGGAATATGATCTGGGCGTTCTCAATATATTCAGCTTCATCTTTTATATATACTCTGAATAAATATTCCAAGAATATTTATCGAACACATACCTATTAAATCACATTCTTACGCGAGTATATAAATCTTTAGAGGCAGCAAGATTCTTAAGCGCATACCATATGTGGATGCACTTTTCCTTTGACATTTTTGTGCGCCTTCTTACGTCAGAATCTTCGTTTTTAGTAAACGGAAATATTCTCTGCGTATATATACTTTTTGCAGAAATATTGAAATCTTGCGAGAATAAAGTTTTCCTCAATACCTGATCATATTTCGCCTTTAACATTTCGCTTTTCTTCTCATATTTTTATGCAAATAAAAATAAATCGTACGTGCGTATTATTGTTATTACAATATAAATACAAATGTTCTTTCCATCGCGATTACTACATACGCGTCGATATCACGAGATCTAATAACAAGAAATGCAACAGGAGTGTGATGATTCCCTGTTTTCGGAAAAAGCCTCCATGAATAAGTGTATACGGTTACATAAGTCGGAAGACAGATCTATCGTCGCGTGCACGCGCGAGAGCGAACGTTCAGTTTATAGAGAAATGGAAACCAAGTCGCTCGTAAAATGTATCTTGTTTTTGGAACATACATCTCGTTTCGTGTCTCATTTCCCGCGAATGTCACCTGCTATAAGTTTTGTATGCTGGATAAGGCGCGGAAAAGACACCGACGACGTGTACGTGTCTTTCTCGCGAAGAAAAGGATTTCGCCACGATCGCTTTCCTTTGCAGTACTCCCATCTCCATCCCCTCCCCCCCCCACCGTCCTCCCCTCCCCTTACCACGCCCTCCCTCTTGTAGTTCCTTTTGTTTTCCGCCGTCTTGTCCTTCGTCGTATCCGTATATCTGTTTCTTTCTGCAGATAATGGCATTGCCACGGCACTTCCGGTTGTGCCTAAGGGTATCTGAAATGCCCGCGACGAGTTCTTCTTCAAAGACGTCGGGGCATCCCCTGCTACGACAGATGGGGGCAAGGATATGAAGAAAGAGGGATACAGAAGGGATAACAGAGTGACGCGAGATACACAGGAAGGAAAAAGATGGCGCGACGCGAACGAGAGGATTGCTGGGGGTGAGTGTAAATCCACTGAGTCTGATCAAAGCACGACTCATACTACTAGGAATAGGAAAGATTCTCCCTTTCTTCTCATTTTCGTGAAATTTTCTCCCGTCCCTCCCCTGCTCCCCTATCCTCGGTACAACGTCCTCTCATCGTTTCTGCCTTTTAGTAGAATATTTTTCTCTTGGTAGTTTCTTTGCTTGTCGAAGGAGGAATCTCCCTCTGTCTTCCCTCCCTCTTTTACATAGTCACGTAGTCGAAAAATCTTGTATTCCCTCAAATACCTTTCTGTTTCAATTAGAGCCACGTCAGATGATAAATTATTGATCAGTATCGACGAGGATGAAATTGAATATACGCTCATTTTAATAAGTTTTAAAAATCGAAGAATATAAATAAGTGTTATAAAGTGTTATAATTACATGTGCATGTATAATATCATCTCGGAATAAATAATTAAAGACATGGATATTTAATATATATTTAATTCGTATGTGTGCAGATATGAAAGGAATAAAAATTGTCAGATATTCAAGTTCGATTTTATATATATAAAATAACCATAATATTTTATTAAAAATATAGTTTTAATAAAAATCTAGTTTCTATCATTAAGATGTGTTAGCCATTTTGATAGATACACATTCACGCGCGATCTTTAATTCTTGTTAATTTTTCTTTTATTTTAATTTAAGCTTTCAGAGATTCAGAAATAGACATAATAATAGACATAACGAAATTGGAAGTAAAGTTCCTTCCCGACGTAACTTCCCAACAAGGAGCTTAAGAAAGAAGAAATTATGTGACTCAGCAAAGCGACTTATTTCGACATTTGATTGACGGTTTTTATATGCAAACTGAAAGTTTCAATATTTATAGCGGGTAAACAGAAGTAAAAGTTAGGTACGAAAACAGCAGTCTGTGGAGAGTTCAGGGGACATTCATTCAAACTTCATGAAATTTAATGCTCGAATATATTTCAAGACTATATACCTACGACTGATTTTAAGGAAAATCAAATATGTATGCGTTTAAGTACAATTTTTATCAATATATTCCAAACAATAAAATATAAGTATTTTAATTATATGGATTTTTTGCTATTTAAAAATTTTGTTAAATAAAAAGTTAATTCAAGGCATAAAAAATTAATTTTTCATAATTTTTTCTTTAAAATAACTTAATAACAATGAAATGTTTTTCAAAACGTATGGCTTACGTCCACATTGGCTTGATATAATTTCTCGACCTTATCAAACCCAACTTTCGAATATTTTTTTACATACACACAATTGTACTACACATAGTTAACTTGAATAAGTGGGACTTTCCTGTGACAATTCTTTCTCTTCCAGATTATATAGCCGGTCAATACGGCTGAAGAGAGAAATCGTTGTTAAAAAGTGCTCTGTCGACAAATCAGCTTTCAGCGCGCTCGTTATATCGTTGCTAATACAGATCACAGTTTACTTTGTATTGTCAAACATCAAGATCATACCAAAAATATCTTTCTTTGTATGTTTTAAGCTCCTTTCTTATTGTCCTCATGAAGATAATTTATCTAGCATAAAAAATAAATTTTGCATCTAGATGTTCGCGAGTGTATATTAACTTGATACGAATTAAATAGTTTTGCACTATGTAAAACCTATATAGCATTTTTAATTCATTATACAAAAGTATAATTTCTCATGATATAAAATATTTGTTGAAAAAGAAGTAGAACATCCGCGTGACAAATAAAAGGTGTTATTCCAACGGCATTACCTTCCGTGTTTTTCATGCACGAGTTTTCATTCGGAAATACGGTGTACTTCCCCTTCGTCCTTCCATTATCTCGAGCCAGGGATAAAATTCTGCGGCTCTTAGCTACGCGGTGATCCCGAAATTCGTTGTCACGGGCGAACAAAATCCTACTTGACGACCGAGCCAAGGCGGTATATAGTCGAGCTTTCTGAAATTTGCTACGCCCTGGAAATTCGGAATTCACCGCTGGTAACCCGCGAAGTGCCGAGCTGGCCCTCTCCTCTTCTGAGCACCTTCACTTCATGTGTACCATCCGATCTCGACGTATCTTCTGCACTCTGCCTCTCATCCTGGCCCCGATGCCTCCTTCACGACCGCCTCCTCGTGCTTTACTCGCCACTTTGCCCGCCACTAGAGCATAATCACCACCCTCCGTGAAGAGACTGCGAGACGAGCCCGCAAACACGGCCGCGCATTCAGTAAACGCATTATCCTCTCTTTAAGCTTAAATTCCGACGACAGTCCCGGCGAAGATTATTTTTACGCGCATCTGGAGTTAATTGTCGTCGAGGAGGTATTCCAGAACTAACAAAACAAAAAAAAAAAAAGAAAGCGTACCGTACACCAGCTTAAGCGAGACGTGTCACGTACAGCGCGTCTGCGATATTCACTCGAAAGAATGTTTTGTAACTTCATTATTTTGTAAATTCATTAATTACTAATGTAATTTTCCATGATAATAATATTTATCATTGTAAAATATATATGCAAAAACCGTCCAACTTTCGGCGTTGTATTATATCAAAATCAGACGACAGTGATGCGTAAAAAAAAAAATAATGATGATTATTAAAATGATGATTAAAATAAGACAAAATGATGATAAAATTATTAAAGTGAATTACTAAAATAATTTCAAGTAGAAAAAGACACGAGCGGTCGAGCCAGACATGACAGTTTTGACAAAAATTGTACATTTCAACGCGGATAATTCGGATTTATTCTAAAATTATTTGACATAATATTATATAATATGGGATGGCAGTGGGCAGTAATAGCAGATGATCCGACGATACTAGTTAACCTATTGGCCTGGACCTGTGAGGCTATCTTGCAGTTGCAATGCCAGCTACCCGACTGGACACACGAAATTGTCTCGTATGCAAACTTTGTCGGATCTGATTACAAACAGTCTCCATCGCCTTTCGCTCTCGCAAGCAGCTGTTCCTATTAGCCATATTGTACATACAAATCTCCGTCTATTAACTTCTACTCGACAATTTCTGCCATTTCTGCGTGAAGAGGAAAAAAACTTTTCTGAAAATTCAGCTAATTTACGAAAATAAAATCATAAGCGCGGGGTGAAAGATAAATTTTATTCTTCTCCTAATTGATACCCTCTCGTATTCATAACGTCGTAACATATTCTTTCAGCACTCATGCCTCTGCTTTGGGAGCAGGTGTGATAACGCCCTTGCGAGTCATGGCCGATATGAATATTCGATATGCGCAGTTCATTCGTCGGGTGCATCAAGTGTGAAATCAGCGGGTGCAGTCGCGAGGGGGGTGAATGTACTAAACTG